CTTTTCTAATCGCATTTTTGTTTATCCTTAAATTTACTTACTAATAGACGGGGTTCAGACGTGCTTCGGGTACCACGGTTCTAGGGTGACAGTTGGCCGGGGAAGGCGAAATTTCAACGCAGAAACTTGCTTTATTGCCAGAATACATGAATAGACAGACGGATAGACACACACAGACAGCACAAACACAGACACACACCACAGGTCGTCACTGTCGGCGTTTTTATGCGTTTTTGCACATACGCAAATGGGAAACACATATTGCGACAACCCCGGTGTGCGTATGCGGATGTGTGTGTGTGCGTGTGTGTGTGTGCGCCTGTCCGGGTATTTCAGCTCGGCACGCAAGCAAGCTGCGGCGCCAAAAGTTTGCGAGCGGGCTCCCAGGACCGCGTTACCAGGCGTAACGCACTTCTAGACCCCGCTTGTGAGCGCGTGAAAGTTTTGGCGGAAAAATCGCCAACTCGGAGAACAAGAAAAGCTAGAAAGCTAAAATTTTCAGGTTGTGTACCTCGTGTAGATTGAACTCAAAGATTCCAAATTCAGCGTCGAAGTGTTCACGATCCCCGCGAACGGCCCCTTAAGAGTTCCTAGCGGGAAAATCGCTAACTTGGGGTCTAGTACATCTTCCCACTTTGTGTACAACCTAAATTTATCAAATTCAGCCCCCAGGCATGCGTGGTTCTCACGTACGGTCTCGTGAAAATTTTTGGCCGAAAAATGGCAGACTCCGAACCCAGAGAAGCTGGAGGGATGAAATTTTTGCGGAACTTTGCTGTCCAAGTGCAGCGCAGACAATTAACTTTCCGAAATTCGAGGACCAATATGCTACACAGTTCTAGCTACTGGGTTTCCGAGCGATCTCGTTACAGCACGAAACACTGCAAAAGCGCATATTCGCACAGGACCGCCTGGTGCGTGTAGCCAATTATCACATTTGTACGTGTGCAAAAGCTCATTAAAAAAGCAGGTAATTCTTGAATTTGAAGCGTTTTTCATATTTTCAGTCCTTCCACAGGATCGGTTTTTATGCATTTCCGCATACATGCAGATGCAACCCAGGCTGGAACGCACCAGGCGAGCCGGTGCGATCATGCGTTTTTGCATCAAA